TAACACTGAGATAGCCATCCTAGCTTTTTTTCCATTCCAGTGTTTCAGGGAGAGGTTCCAAATTCTGAGTGTAGTGATTTAAAAGCTCTTTCACGTGGAGTAATTCTGGGCATTACAGCATGTTTTATTAATTAATTAATAAATTGATGCCTTTGTTGTTTGTAGTACAGCCACAAAATAATGATGGTAGTTACTAGCACCTTGCAAAATAATAATGAAAGGATAAATTATAATAATAGAGTCACCCAAGTATTTGAAAATAAGGGATGATATAAACTCAGAAAATCAGAGATTATTCTCTGTCAACACTATTGTTCCACTCAATTTCCTTCTCTATGCAAAAGACCTTTTATATATGGCACTTGGAAATAGCAATATTTTTAAGCCAAGACCTGAATTAGGTCTATTTCCTAGGCTAAATGCTGCACACAGTTTAGCAAACTCAATATAGTGTTTAACAATTTTCTGGGAGCTTAGTGCTTGGAGGGATCATCTAAAAATGAATACAGTTGTCTGCAATTGCAGGCAGCCTTGTCTTATTATTCTTTTAAAAGATTTATCAAGCTTCATCTTAAAACTGATTAGGCCTCTTCCAGCCACTGTTCCTAACTGGAAGTCTGTTCCAGAGTATCACTTTATTGATGGGTAGAAATAATCCCCTAACTCCTAGTCTAAATTTATATGTGGCTGGTTCAGAGCCCTGTGACATGGGGAGCCATGATGCTGTGCTTTGTTCTGAAAAAAACTCATCCAGACAATACCTCACAGCATGGCATTCATGCACAGGGTTTTTCTGTAGGAGTGCTGCAGTGCGTGCAAGCTTTTGGCAACTACTCCCACCATCCATCATCCCAGGTATGCCCAGCTCAGCTGAGTGTCCTATATCTTTACATCCCTTCCACTGAGAAAGCAAATCGTAGGCAGAAAAAAAAATAAAAGTTGAAAGAACTGGGACAAAAAGGGAAATTCAGCTACAGGAATCTTCTCTTAGAGAGGACACGTCAGACAACTCTTTGAGCAGTGTGAGTACAGACTGTATAATTTCTGAATTGGTCAAGCCATAATAAGAGGGTGTTTTTTCCTTGATTAAATCTTTCCATATCCCTGTTCTATAAATACAGTCACAAAATACTAGGTGCAGCCAGTGCTATATGTTTGATAGGACTTGGAGTTCTTCCAGTTCAGCCAGATAATGTCTGATGCCAATACTTTCCTAGGTTTTTTGAGGCACATGTATTGGTAAGCAGTAAAAAATATAACAAAGGGTCTCAGATCCCTGCTACACAGTGCATAATGATACTTTTGTTCCAGAATCTTTTTAAATTGGAACATTTTAGGCCTACTAATGTTATTTAAAGGAGAAAGCCAGATCTGACTTGTAGCCAAACCTGCTCTAACTAGTGACTTTCCTGAAACTGGGAAAATGCTTTTCTGTATGTGCTGGATTTTCAGCTTGTGATGAAATGAAAGTCGAGTGGAATTCTCACCTGTGAACTGTGTTTGAAAGGACATCATAGGTCCTTGTATTAGAGATGCTCTATAGGTAGATACAACTACTGCTTTTTTGAACTTCATTCTCATTTTGCCTATTGCAGTTAGTATCAGTTGATTTCTTTGGAGCAATTTCTCATTTACAGTAGTACACAATCAGAATACAGGGATATAGGAAAGACTCCAAGGAGTATCTGTACAAAACAAAAAGCAAATAGTATATTTTGTTCAGTTCCATATTTTTCCAAGGTAATGTGGCTCAGTCTAAAGCAACCATTGGGAAAAGGTGTCATCCACAGCCATCCTAGTCCTTGAGTCTATTTTCTGTTGTATTTATGCATCAAGTTCCAAATTTGCTGCATTTCTTTTTTGAATTGTCTTGTTACTATATAAAAGTCAGTGAAGTGTTAAAAAGATAAAACTGTTCAGATCTTGAAGCTCATGACAGCTAAAGTAGTCAGCTTGATTTTTTTTTTTTTAATAGCTATTGAGCCAGTCAATCTATTCTGTTGTCTTCCTGTGCTGAGTGAGGACCACTTTGCGTGTGAGAGGTTACATTGCCTTAAAAACAAACTGTACAGGAGGCAGGTATGCAGCTGCATCTTCTTCTGACACATTTTCAGGAAAGTGTATACAAGGAAGGTCCTCACAGAGCAATCAATTGACTCAGAAAAACATTGTCAGCCTGTGAAAAACCCCATAATCTCTATTCCCTTTCTTATTTTTTGTTAAATATTTATTATGAATTATTTTGATTTATCCCCCATTGTCTGGTACAAGATAATGATGACGAGTGCAAGTATTTATCACAATCCTATTTTTCAGTAGGCTGTACATAATGAGATGTTATTGTCTCAGTATGTTGCAAATCATGCGGAGATAAATGGTTTCACATGACACCTTCTCACTTATCCACCCAAGGAAAGTCCCTCAGGAGAAGGGATTTCTTGAGTATGAGGCATATAAAGAACCACTAATCCAGAAAATTTTGGCTGCAAATCCCACAGTTTTGTTTCAGGATTAGGTGTTCTGCTTGAGATTTTGCCCTTGTTTTCCATCTCGCTGATTTCTGAAATCCTGTAGCCTCTCATTTCTCTCTTGAAATGAGAAAGTAGGAATAAACTTTGTATCTATTCTATGAGAACAGAGCTAAATGCTCAGGATTGTCATAAAGCCTCTACTGTTGCTGATGCTGAGGCAGAGATCTCAATTGCCATATATGACTCATGTTCAGCACTTGATCAATAAAAGGATTGTATTGATCAAAGATTTTTGACTAAATCACAAGCAGACTCATGCTTTAAAGGTTCAAAAATTAGTCTTTGCAGATGGGACAGATTGTAGTTGTAAATTTGTTTTACAGACATGTCCAATTTTAGGCAAATAGACTTTTTAAACTATGGAGTGCAACACATGAATACTGCCCTTAATAAAACCTCCTTTCTCTTCTGCTGGCTTTATACAATCAAATTTTATGTTTCTCACCCTATTGAGTTCTGCTGAACCATCAGCACTGGTGCAGCGTTGTGTTTCATGCAAGTCCAAAAGTGAAATCAGGCACTTGGGGGGCCGTTTGGTTGTCTCTTTTTCTTGTACATAAAGTGAGAGAAGAGGTCTTAATAACTGTATGTTCCTATGGGGAACTGGAGATAAAAACATCATACTTTTCAAAATATACATTTTACCTGAAAATAACTTAGAAACTGAAGGTGTTGTCAGGACTGGCCCTTCACTGATTTATTTTCAGATTTAGGCTGACAGTTGTTCGGTTTCCTGAACTGGAGTTAACGAACCAGTGGCAGATGTTTATAAAGCCTCTTCTGCAAGCTCGTTATGATATATGCAATAATTAGCTCTCCTGGGAACGTATTTCCCAGCAGCCTGCACAAATGACTCACACTGACTTCAGTGGAAGCTCCATGCAGAGAACTGTGTCCCTTTATATAATCTTGAGAGAGAAAAGTGCTGTCGTCTCTACTTAGTGAAGGCAACTTAAATCCATAAATATAGCTGACTATTTTTATGTCATCTTCCCATTTTATTTACTGCCATTGAATTCCGCTTACCCTTACTGTTCTTTCAGAGAGTCTTTCCTCCCACCTCTCCTGTGGTTGATTTCCTCAGCCACTGTGGCCCATGTTTTTCCTTTTAGGCACATCATCCCCACTGAGAGTTGTATCACTTCGAAGATACAGAATTGGTTAGTCAGGCTCTGAAAGAGTCCTCTTGTCTCCTGGAGGCATGCCAGTAAAAGGCAGCAGTTCAGTTTTATCACCTTCCCGTGTATTCCTGCTGCACATCACTACAGCTGGGATAGTTTCAGCAGACCAAGTCCTGGCTTATGTTGGTGTGAGAGCGCTGACTGCTGTTTTGTGTTTTGGTTAGGCATTAGCTGTCATGTTTACACAGTGCAGTGTGTGAGCCTGACATTTTGTGCATTGTATAAGCTAAGGATGAGTCACAGAGGCAAAGGTTCATGGGAATCTTTCCAGTAACTTCAATGGGCTTTGACTCAAGCCTCCAGCACACTCGACTGAAACAGATGGTGTGCCTGCAGGAAAGCAGGCAGCCTGATGGACATCATTTAGAGCTGTGTGATGTCATTGGCACTGATTTACATCAGTTGTTAGTGAAACCATACCTCACATACATGCAAAGCCTTTCCTAAGAGTTGCCATACAGAGTGCAGTCCTGTTGCCCTTTTATTCCATTGTTCCACCCCTAACAGTGGGGAACAGCAGCAGATAGATTGAGGGTAACCCATTTCTGTTACAATCTTCTCTCTTAAGCATTAGGAACTGGGATTGGTTTAGCCCCTAAAGCATGGGGCTTTTTGATCTTTTAACCTTTTAGCATTTCTTGTTAAAACATTCAACTTGGAAGGGATGAAACATTTTACTAGAAATTTGCTATCCTCATTTCTACAGAGAAAAATAGAAATGCTAACATTGACTTCAAAGGTAGTACAGTAAAAATCTTTTTACCCACAACACAACCTTTCTGAAGTCATCCTGTGATAGAGCGTAGCAGCCAAAAAAAAAATATTTTTGGGATACTGGAGAACCCTTAACAGTTTTGGAAGTATCACCAGGTATTTCCTGTCTGTTTAGAAGCAAAATGACTCCTGTTACTAAGTTCTCATCCTAAGAGCTGACAGAAGATACTCAGCACTCTCTTTCATACATCTGAAGCGTGCAGGAAGGGCACACCCTGTAAAGATCTATATCTCTAGGCAGGCTATAGATATAGTTGTTGATTGTCTTTGGTGAGACTTGCAATTATGACTTCCTTTTTGCTGTCTTACTGTAATTGTTTTTTATTTTATAGTAAAATTCTGGAAAGGGCGACAAATTTTCAGGACTTCTGACTCTGGATAGTTGAGTATTTTTCTTGTTTTGGCTTTGTCTGCCAGAGCTACTGACCTCCAGGCCAACATGACAGAAAATTCTCAGGAAGAAAAAAATTCCTACCACCTGGCAGGGACAAGAAAGTTCTTCTGTTCTGCCTTCTGAACTTCTATGTTGTTTTAGATAATTTATTGAACTTCGTAATTTTCAGTGAGAATAAAACCAGGGAACTTTCAGTACAAAAAATACAGGCAGGTGTTAATCAAAATGTAGAATGCAAGAGTGAAAATTTACATCTCTATGTTTACATTTCTTAAAGTGAATGGAAGTATCAAACTTGCCATGGTACTGAGCACTAAAAGCAAGTTCTAGATTAACGAAATGTTCATTGCAATCAACCACTTTCACATGATTTCATTTCTTCTTAAAACAACCACTTGCATGAGGACCTCTCACTGCTTACACTCCATCAGGGTCATGTTTCAATTTTCCTCCTGAGGCAAAGGATGGGGGAGAATCCTTTTTATCGAGAGTACAAGCGTTCTCCTCAGGTCATGTTAGTCACTGCCAACAGCATTCTCTGTTTACAGCCACAGCTAGGAGTGTGAATTGTTCATGTTGCAGCTCACTGTCATGCTGATGATGAAAAAAGGGGAAACTCTGTATGTCTCTAATAAACTATAAGAAGTGGTGAAAAAAATCAGAATTACAGTAGCCACCATCTTTAAAAAAGAAGTCTTCAGAGATTTGGATATCCTTCTAATATTTAAAAGAAAACAGATATTTACTTTGTACTGTACCAAATATTAATAGATTGCTTATTATTTTTAGGGAGGAAAACAGTTAATGGTTTTTATTGGCTTTGGATGATTTTTACTAACTAAAACTATTTAGAATTTGAATTTGTATCAGGTATCACATATTTTAAAGTTTCTTTTTCTTGGAGAAAAGAACAAAATTGAACAGAAAACATTGGTTTTGAACAACATATATAGCATGTCTGTCTGCATACATGCTGTCAGATATGTATGTGATAATGATGTGATGAATTGCAAGGTTCTTCCCTTCATCTACTGATGTCATTAAAAATTTGGCTAGGTACCTTATGGGAAAATTTCCTTCTTGAGTAGAATTGTGTTTTGCCAGTTGCTGAAGTTTTAGGTTTTTTCATGCACTGCCTCCAATCTGATTTATTGTTCAGATCTAAAAATTTAAATTTCCTGTGATATTAATCTGAAACCTCAATTTAAAAAGTGCTCTGCATGCAAATCTACTTGCAGATAGTGAGGAAATGTCAGTGGTGGTATACACAGTTATGTGGCAAACAAAGAGTGGAAGAAAAGAGTTACAATTTCTGAACTCACATGTTTTCATTTAAAAAGTGGTCTTGGGGTATTTCTTCAGCAATATGCTTTTATATGCACAAATTGTCTATAGTGGGTGGTAGGGGTTGGCTATATATATGTTCCCTGTTCCCGTTTTAGAGTATAAGACCGTTCCTTCTGCTTCCTCTTGTGGCTGAAAACAAGCTGCCTCACAGATAGTCCAAGTCTTCTTGCCCATTAGTAGAGAGGAAAAGTGAAAAAGAAGATGGTTGTTATCCACTTCTTGCTGTTCAATGACACAAAAAGAGTTAGTGGGCAATGTTGCACACCACAGAAACATTATGGCCAAAAGAAAATTACGCAGCAAACTCTACTGAGCTGCTGGAGACTTGTTGCTTGCCAGCAAAGCAGATGCTTGGGAGCTCTTGATGGGGGCTCTGCTGTAGAATTCTCCGCAGGAGACACTACACTGCTCATCCTTTCTCTTGCTGTCTTTTGACTCTGCATTTGTAGGACTTCAGTATCCAACTTCAGCAAGGATAGCTGGGCCAAGCTCTGTATTAAAAAACAAACAAACAAAAAACCAAACAAAAAAAACCCCACAAAAATGTAATTTTTTCCTTGCTGGAAAATATTTATTTCATTCAACATCTAAGCAATAACTTACATGCAGTAACTAGTCCAAGCATTTACTAGATTAGTACTTCTCAATTTGGACACCCCTATCTAACACCAGACAAATAATGGCCTCTTTAGCCTTTGTGACCTGCCTAGATCCTTCAGACTCCCTCTCCAGTGTCACTGCACCTTCTCACAGAAGTCCAGCTAAGTAGTACTCTGTGATTATGCTTACAGGTATAACATGTCACACATGTGAAAGTAGAATCTTCCAAGCATTTCAAGGCTTTGTTCATGTTTTTTCAGCATTTGTAATATTTTTTTTGTCTGTGCTGTAATGTGTGGTTAAGAGCTTGAAGAAGTTTTCTGTTTTGCGTGAACCATGGCCTCTGTGTGCTTCCACCAAAGCAGAGAAACACCGATTTCTAATGACCTGACTTTTATCTGGTTAAGAAGACACAGAAGGCAACCTTTAGGATCTGGTGGTAGATTTCATGTATATTGAGTCAGTCTATGCGATAATCTCAAGTGCTATTCCCAGGAGTTGTGCATAGAAACTATTTATTTTAGGTGCAGGCCATGTTTTAGCCATGCATGTCAAGTTATATTTGGTGCCATATGTCATATATCATGATACTTTCCTCTTTTGCATCAATACGTATGATGTTTTTAGTTTCAGTACATCTTGCAAAACGATTCTTTTATAAAGGAGTACAAAGCTGCAGCCACTTCATACACAGCAGAAATTGACTGATTAGCAAAATCAGGCCATTATTCTACTTCCTTAAATGTTCTAACGATGTAACTCCATTTGTAGTGATCAGTCTATGTCCAATAGTTTAATAGCATTACATACCATGTGTATTTATACATTTTTTTTCTGAGGTTTTCATAATTTGATTTAACAGTGCTCATGCTGTTAGGCATAACACATTTAATATAGTAGCATCTGTTGTGCAATGTGTAAAACCTAAAGAATTAGTAGGCCACAGTAAATGAAAATGCAGTCCAAAGCCTGTAGATAAAGCAAATATTCATAGAATACAGGAAGAGAAAGAAGGAATCTTATGCTTTAATAAAACACATGTGCTCCTCATAGTGTACTTCATGCTCAAGAACCAAAACTCATTGATAACACTTGAGTGCTTGCTTCCATCACAGCACTAATTCAAATAAACTGCTATCCAGGAGAATTCATCTTGAATTAGCTTGTCAAGTGTGAATGTCAACACAGTAAGACTCCAGAGCTGCACAGTTACACTGCAGAGTAGCTAAGATTGTACCCTCATGTTACAAATGTGTGATGACAAATCTGCCTTAAAATATTCCTCCTTCTTTGTCCCTGCTGCAGCTGATTCAGCTCTTTGTGTGACTGGACTCTGAATTGTGTCTTGAGAACCTGTATTGGTGACAGCTTCACCTTCTACAGGAGAGGAAGGGATAACTGCCTGGGTGCAGGAACCTCTTCAGCTGGATCTTCTGGTGATGGAGAAGTAACATGGAGCCACTGCCTGCTGCGTCAGTGACGACAAGCCTGGGAACCCAGAGATAGTTGCAAAATGAGCTGCTATACTCTGTGCTGTCAGTCTACCCCTGCACGGGTGGGAAGACCATTACCAGCAAATCTGTATCTTTGTTTCTCACTGGCCCCTCTGGAGTGTACTCCCTCTTTCCTTGCCTTTTGTAAAATCCCAGGATAAACCACCCTGTGTCTCTAAGGCTGAACATTTTTTACCAACCATGGCTCTTGAGAAGCTCCAGGAAGTTCAGTATCTATGAGACATTTCCTCTAGGGCTGACAGCAGCAGGCAAGCACGCTGATTCACATTTGCTGAGCCCTTGCTCTCTGCAAAGACTGTGTAAATCAGTCAAGTGAAGTTGAGTGAGTGACTTTCTGTTTACCTGGTGCAGAGAAGAGCAGAATTGTGCACATGCTGGGCTTAAAGGAACAATACACAGTCAGAGGTCTTCATATCTCATCAACAATCTTCTAGAAACCTGGTTGATAAAATCCTGGGCTCATTTGTTCCTCTCTCTTTTCTTTTTCCTATATACAGTGTAACAACAATCTCTATGGGAGATTGAACAGGCTTGCATATCTGAAGTATTTATTTATTACATCATTTATTGAAAACTGCTCTGTACTTGTCTTTTTTTTTTCCTCCACTTAAAATACCAAGGTTTTTATTTGTCCTTGCCAGGGGATATATTAAAATGTTCACTGTAGTGAGGATTTAATGAACAGAAAACTTCACACTTCCAAATGCCTTTCCTACTGCCTAGCTTTCCTCTCAGTATCTTAGCAGGGTCTTTGTCTTTCCTCAGTTCTGCTTTATTCTTTCTCCTAAGGATGTCAGTTAGGAGTTCACACCAAGATGCTGTTGTTGGTCAGGTCTGGATTCAAACCTTTGGGAGTTTTATTTAGGTGACAAGATCAACTGCCTGCCTGAGCAACTTCTGTGGTCTCATTCACCACCATGGGCTCAGATAACCCAGGCAGGATTCACATATTATTGAACTGATAAACAGTGAAAGTTCAAACACATTAAAGTACAGTATGACTGGTCATGTACCTGTCTGTGCATGTACACTTAACACTCCTAAGACACCTCCACTGGCAAGAAGTTATTGGGCACAATCAGGAGCTGATATTCTTGACAAAATAATATGTCTGGTTTCTTCTCTTCAATATTCCAAGGAATTTTAACCCCTCTTGTGAACAGATGTTTGTTTTGTTTTTTTTTTTTACTTTGAACAACTAACTGTTTTTACTGTTTTTATTTCTCACACCAGTTAATGCCTTTTTTTTTTTTTTTTTTTTTGAGAGTCAGATGCTCTCTTCCTTGTTTTTTTTGCAAGTTGCACTTGCAGAATATCCTATTTCATGGATCAGGCTGGCAACTGGAGACAAATATGTTTGTAAAACAAACTCTAAAACCTGCTGAGTTTGTAACAGAAGCATTGTAGCAACATAAGCAGTTTTATCAAAGCATGTGAAAAACTTTCAGTTCTTCAGAACAGACAGTAGCAACAGTTTATTATGCATTTCAGATTAATTTCTTTTTTTAATACAATGTAGGTCTCCTTCCTCTCTATAATATCAAGAAATAATGGGACTGGAGATGAGGCAGTTGACCTAGACAATTTCAGAATAAGGACAGAGTTCTACAGGGAGATGGTCTGTGGCTTTTCTCTGTATAGAATAGGTGTATCACAGGGTGTTTGGTTACAAGTAAATTTGAAAATTCAGAATTGAAAACTCCGAGCAAATATGAAAGGCAGAAAAATCATAATTAGCTGCTTTCTGTTTTGCAAAAACAAACTCACAGATTTCATACAGTATCAGTAACATCCAACATCGTTACCTATAGAGCAACAGAAGTTAAAAGAGATCAAAGCCAAATATTTATTTGCATTATTAGACAGGGATTAGGAACAGAATGCATAATATTACTCACAGGTATTTCTGTTCTCTGTTTAAAAAGAAACCAAATAGTATACTCCATTCTTATATTTTCATTCCAAAAATAATTAGGAATGTTTTTATATTAAAAATTATTTACATGAAAATTTTTCAGCCTGTAGGATGATGGATAATTTACAACTAAGAGTTAAAAAAACCCACTGATTGACAAGCTCTTCAAGCCTCTAATGTTAGTATAGAACAAATTAGATAATATCAGTAAATATCAAACGTTTTCACAACCTTGCTTTTAAAGGCTGGAGTTCCTAACTTTGGGGACAAAATACTGGCCCTTTCAAGGCCAAAACATAGTTCTTTCTGGCTGCTCCAGAATGAAGGAGGAATGAGTGGACACATTTTTCCTGTGGAAGTTGTCACAGAAGCTAGGTCAGTAGTTGGGTTGTGATTTTGGAACCTATTTTATTTTCAAATGTTTACTATATTCTAGCCATGCTCATTAGAAGTGTTTGAAGAAAATGTGACCAATCAGCTGTATGGGCTTGCCTAAAGAGGTGAGATTTCAGAAGCTGTCAGGGGTTGATCTCCAGTTACTATTAAGGCGTGACATGAAAAAGATTTCCTGGAAATGTGATCATCTGAAGGGTGGGAAGAATAGAGTTGGACCTTATTACAGTGGCTCATATTCCCTCTGGAACAGACATGAAACAGTCTGTCCTCACAGACAACTCCTGCAACAGCTAATACATGAACGCTAGGATTGCATGAGCAGACCACTTTTAAAATTACATTAAAAGCTGGATATATCATTGATAATGTGTGATTTACACTAGCTGGCTAGTTTTTTTTTTCACTGAAGTTACCACTCTTCCTCAATCACAGTGTGCAAAGTAATTGGATGAGTCAGCCTCTGTTCAGGAGAAAATGAAGTTCATTACCTTTCATAGGACTTCAGGTTTGAAACCTTCTTGGTTAAAAAGTCCTCCCAACCTAGGTAGTAGCACAGGACCTAAACAGTACCTGGTTCTCTGTAGAGGTAGTAGTAATGTAAGAGCTGATGTCTTAAGACAAAAAGGGAAATTGCAGTCAGTGTTGTTAATGCCTGTTGTCACTGGCAGCAGGAAGTAAGGAGTAGATAAAGGTGTACTATTTTCTTGCACACTTAACTTTTTACTAAGTAACTGGAGCTTAAGGTGGCGTGTTCTTGTATGTATGTATCTGCTATGGATTTAAAAGCTGCTGACTCTTGCATCTCCTTGAAATTAATAACATAGCTCCTGTTACTTTCAGGTGGAACAGAGGCCAAAGCTGCAAATCCTATTGGGTAATTATGAATAAAACCAAGATTTGTAAGGTACAGTGAAGCCCACATGGCTGTGATTCAGGAAAGCACTTCATGTTCTTTGTTAGGGAAATAAATCATGTAGCAGCAGGAGACACTTTCAGTGTTCCAAATGCTCCTCAGGAAAACTAAACACAATTTTGATTGTGCATGTTTATGTACTCTGTGCCTTCA